AAAGTTGTACCAAAAGACCATTTATTTAGCCTTGCGATGAATCTGAAGGCGCATTGACCTTATTTATTACCGAGCACTGTTCTATATTAAGTGTTGACCATTTAGGTGAACTATGCAAAATGTGATGTATAATGTAATTTACTGAAATAATGAGAAATGTGCTGATGCCGCACTTTCGCAAGGAGCTCTTAGATGATATTGAAAACCAAAAGTTCAGCATTATAATGGATGAGTCCACAGACGTCAGTGTCAGTAAACACCTTGGTCTTGTAATTAGGTATTATAGTGCCGCACAGGAAAGGATACTAAACTCATTCCTGGAACTAGTTTCTATCGAGAGTGCAAATGCTGGGGGAATTAAATTAAATTAATAAGTTAATGGCTTGGTATCATGCTTAGAGAGTCACAACTTAGATATCAAACAAATGATTGAAATTGGAAGTATTAATAACGGGGTTCATGCAATCCTAAAAAGAGAATATGGTATAGAAAATTTGATACTGATACGATGTGTCTGCCACTCGTTGCAGTTAGCAGTGACCCATGCCTCCGAAAATACTCTGCCACGAAATTTAGAGTTTTTGGTTAGAGAAATTTATAAATGGTTTTCTGTGTCTCCTAAGGGGCGAGACGAATACACAAAAATATACGAACTTATAAACTGTGGCGAAAGTCCGTTGAAAATCACCAAGATGTGCGATACAGACAAGTTGGCTTTCAATAGAGCCAGCGATAACAAAAATTGTGACACAATGGGAAGAATTGAAAATACATTTTAATTTAGCAAGAGTGAAAGACAATCGCTACTCAGCTGAGGTTATTTACAACATGCTCGAAGACAAAAAAACTTATTTATATTTTGTGTTTCTGAGAAGCGTTTTAAATGATGTTCAAACAGCAATTAAATCATTTGAAAGTGAAAACTCTAATCCATTAAAACTTCTCAATACACTCACAACACCGACAGAATCAGTGAGCCAGAGAATTAATGAAGAAATATAGAAATAATGCCAAGACCTGTCATCAGAAACTTATTAGATCTAATAACCGACAGGGATATTAACCCTAGGCCTTATCTTGGCTACATGTTTGAAACTGCTCAACATAATTTAGACTCCGAAATTTTAAATGCAATACGACACTCCACCTTCTTACTGCAATTACTTAAGGAATTGCAACAATGGCTTCCAGACAACTACAAGCAGCTAGAATCAATGGCGTTGCTAAGTCCAGAGGAGGCAATAAAACCAATCAAATCAAACACTATCATCGACGTTGCTGAAATTTTGGGATTTACACCAGAAACAATAGACAAGATAATGCAACAGTGGCACATTCTACATATAAATAAGTGGCATTCTGAAAAAATAGTTCAGTTTTGGGTCGAAGTAAAAAAAAATTAGAAATTCATCCGGTGACAACATATATCAAGATATAAGTACACTTGCTTTAACTTACCTTTTACTGCCACATTGTAATGTACTAGTAGGGGTAGAAAGGTTATTCTCTCAAATGAATTTAGTTAAAAATAAGCAAAGAAACAGAATGAGTTTGAAAACTCTGAACTCAATCCTCTGTATTAGAGACTCCCTCAGGAAAAGTGGCAAATGTTTTGCCTAAAGACGTACTGCATAAAATGGGCACCGGTGAAAAATATTCGAAATCAATGAAAGATACTGAACCCCAACCATCGATTTCTTCCTCTTTAATTGATTAATTTATTTTTTATTTTTTATTCAATTGAGTACACAGGACTTAATTTAACTTCTCGTTGGAATTAATGAATAAAAATGATTATCAGAAACTGGTATTTTATTGTAACCTACTTATCTACTTTAACATTTAGCAACTTCTAGCAAATTTTTAGGGTCAAAAAAAACTGGAAATCTAGCAACATTTTGAAATTGTCTAGCTACTGGGTAAAGCTAGCAGTTGGCAAATCTGCGGTAACGTCACTTAATTCGCCTCTGGCATCACCTACTGCCACACGTGTTGTTTTGTTTTGCTTAACCCTTAGCCAGGCCTAACGAGTTTTTCTTCTTTTGAGTGTTGGGTTTGGTAGAATATAAAGATATAAAAACATACTATGTTATTTCATTCTGGTTTTCCTATTCATGAATATGAAAAAAAACCATGGAGTCTCTTCTCTATATGACCACTGCCCATTGCACAAAAATAATGTGGTCCGTATGTTACCAGTGTCCGGAAAGTCATCTACACAGCTAAACTACATCATATTAAACTATTCACGGATATAATAAAACAACGCTTGAACCTACAAAAATTTTTATTTTTATATTATTGGGGATAATTATCAAAACAAGATGCTGTACAGAGAGGCAAATCCGTTCAATCCGTTGCACGATGTGCGTGCGGTGCGCCCGGCGCTGGCCAATTGACGCGCACCTTTACAGCGCTAACTCCAGGGAGGTGAAACAAAGAAGAAGCCATTGTCACCCGAACTATATCCAAGCATTAAGGCAGGACCCCTAATTGGAGGCCGTGGAGGGGTTCGGGCGAGGATTTCTTTGTTCTCCATTCTGTGAGGCAAAAACGTCATTATAATTTACCAATTCGTGGTTACATTTCACTCCTCAGGTACATTTTATTCCTTAGTTAAAAACGTAAAGCCGTTGGTCCTGCACATGCGGACAATGAAAGTGAGGGAATAGAGTGAACCTCTGTCTTGCGCATATCTACACTTGGGCATTATAATCATGTCTTGCGCGGATGACTAATCTCCGTTGAATATGGCCGCCGTAACCAAGATTCGCTCTGGGGGACATTATATCTAAGTTAGTCGAGTTATTCGTCATATAAAACCTCAGCAAACTTCATAAAATTTTAATTGATTCCTATCTATCGAATAAACGTTATCTATCTGTTTGTCTGAGGATTGAAAAATCGACCCTAAGAGTGTATAAACACGTAATGATCAAAATTATAGTAACTATTGTTTATCAAAAAACTTTCGACAAAGTCACAAAGGCGTTGAACCACTAAGGAATAAGATGTACCAATTGTATCACAGCATAGCCTTATTCCTCTTCAAACCAGGTTATACCGTCATTGAATGGAGGCCACAATAAAGGAGCACTTTCCACAACAACACCCACGAGTTGAAATGGAGAAGATAGATTCTCTTATGCCATCACCACACGGTAAATCACATAAAAGTGTATAAATTTAATTAAAACTAACACATTTAATACAAATCCCTCCTCATTAACATTCCATGTAACGAACCTCCGATGGTTAGAGTCTACTCAAACTATCGTCTACGAAAACAAGCGCGCACGAGCGCTCCGCAATTGATCAAATTCCCTCATAATTAACTTTCAAAGTGTTGGTCCTTCAAGAAACTCACTTACAAAGTCGTAAATCAAGTTGCTTATTACTCTTCAAAACTACTCAAGTCTCTGCAAAATAAACATAGTGGCAAGTTTTCTTGTAAATCTAGTTTCGCCACAAAACTCAGGTCTCGATACAAGTAAATTATAAATAATATAATAAATATTTAAACGGTGATTCTCACCACCATCCTTCACAGTTAGCTACCGTGGGTAAATCTTTGTTTCAGAGAGCACGAGGGATCTGTGACAGTAAACACCTGGCTGCCGAGCTCCACCACGTCAAGCAAGTTTTGTATGACGACAAGCTTCGGGTTCCGCGCCTACGTCACAGTGAACGAGTGAAGCCGGCCACAGTCGAGCATGTACCTGCTGTACTGCCATGTTAGAGGAGTCACTGACAAGATTGGCTACATCTTGAAGCGCGCTTCCGTTAAAACATACTTCAAGCCGCCAAAGAAGATTGGTCAGTTTTTACCATCAGTCAAGTGTAACGTCCCTCTACAAGATGCAGGAGTGTAGAAGCTTGAATGTGATTGTGGTCTCTCCTACATAGGACAAACTAAAAGATCAATCAAAACCCGCGTTAAAGATCATATAGCTGATGTGAAGAATCGACGCTCCGGGAAGTCTGCAGTCTGTGAACATTTACAGGATCGCCCCCGTCACTACATCAGATTTGATAGACCACAAATCCTCGCTAAAGAAAACCGATTCCTTCCAAGGATGATTCGCGGGGCTATTGAAATCAAAAAACATCTTAATTTCAATAGAGAAGATGGCTGGGTGCTACCTGCTGCTATTTTACGCTGGTATTCAAAACTTCCCTGGTATAAAAACAATCATGTTTCAAACTGTGCTGTACCTTGTAGAGCCTCACCTAATACGATAAATAACAATAATTATTATGTCACACGTTCTGGAAGGGCAGTGACGACACCGGATAGATTGGGCTTCAAACACTAAATAGCGGTGATGAACAGCTGCCCAGCTGCATCGCAACAGTCACCGTGTTCAGTGAAAACAAAACTATGAATTGTAACGTATGCACAAATAACGAAAATAAAAGTATGTATGATAGTTTTTTTGTTTGTTTAAACAGCTCAGTATGCACATTCATCACGTCAAAAGTTCGATTCCCGACGGGGCTTTAATTTGTGTAGCCTATAGACATCTTCATTTAACCTCAATTAAGAATCAAAATGCAAATGCGTTGTCACCCCTGAGGGCTAAGATGGAATGCCTCGATACCAGTAAAACGGGTCTCCACACTCACCATACGGAACACAGCAGCATTAAGCTGCTAATTTACGCTGGTATTATGTTAAAGCGTGGTCCTTCTCCGGTCGAGACCATAATATAGCTGCAGCGTAGCTCCACCACGTAAAGAAAAAAATCTCATCTCTTATTTAATAATAAGAGATTTTTTCTTTAGAAGGGAGATGTAAGATATTGTTGTACACCATAGTTGATGCCTGGTACAGCAAATTTACAGCAATTATTTACAGCAAATTACTAAAAAAATGTATTGACGTCTCTAAAAGAATAAATTATTTTAAACGAATTAATACCAGTAAGAATAAAGGAAAATGTTCATGGAATATGATAAAATCAGAGGCAGTGTTAAAAGAGAACGACAACTATTTAAACATGATAAACAAGAATAATGAATGTCTAAGATCTCCACAGAAGATTGCTAATGCTTTTAGTGAGTATTATGAAAGTCAGACAAGGATAGTTAACCTTAAGCAAGCGAAAGAAACACACCTGTATAACATTAAAAGCCCGTGCAAAAGTATGTTTTTACGTCCAATTACTCTGGAGGAGACAAAGTCATTAATAGTTAATTTAAAAAAATTCTAGAAGTGAAGGTTATGATGGCGTAAATACAAAAGTAATTAAATATTGCAAGGATGAACTATCGCTTATACTTACATATTTGATAAATTAATCATTCGAAGTAGGTGCTTTTCCAGAGTCATTAAAAACTATCTTTGATCAAGCCCTTATCTAAGCAAGGTGATAAAAAAGATATTAATAACTATCGTCCAATAACAATTTTGTCAGTTTTCTCAAAAATTTTTGAAAAAGCTATGCATAGTAGGCTTAGTCATTATTTTAATGAAAACAAGTTTATGAAAAAAGAACAGTATGGCTTTCAGCAAAACAAATCAACCACGATGGCGTGTTTTGATCTATTAAAAAGAATCACCGATGCAATAGATGATAAGGTAAATGTAACAAGTGTATTTTTCGATATGTCAAAAGCATTTGACTTTGTTTGCCATGACACCTTATTACGTAAGCTAGAAAAGTATGGAATAAGAGGACTGACATTGCAGTGGATAAAGTCATACTTATCATCAAGAAAACAGTGTGTGGAAGTTATAAGCCCTAATAAAAATAATATTTTGACAAAATTCAGATCGCGACTAGTTCTTAAGTACGCTGGAGTTCCTCAGGGAAGTGTTCTTGGACCTTTTTTGTTTGTAATTTATGTAAATGATTTACCGGATTCAACTCCATTCCCATGCATTTTGTTTGCGAATGACATATATTTAATCATAAAAAATAATCATGGAAATAAAGATTATTATGAAATCGACATAAAATGTGCAATAAATGATGTCATTTCATGGTTACATAATAATAATTCGAAAGTCAATATCGCAAAAACCTGTTATTTACAATTCTATAGTAATAGTAGAAAGAAACTAGATCTTGACGTAAGATATAATAATGACAGAGTGCAAGAAAACGAACAGAAGAAATTTCTGGGAATAAAATTAGATAGTAATTGGATGGCTCATATTGACGAAATTTGTAATAAAATTAATAGATTTGTATATGTTTTAAATAGGTTAAGAAGAACATCGTCAAGTCAAATCGCACTCATTGCATACCATGGATATGTTGCAACAATATTAAGATACGGATTATTAATTTGGGGTAATAGCTCTTATTCAAAAAAGAGCTTTTATAGCTCAAAAAAAGTGTGTGAGAGCCCTAACTGGGGCCAAATGGTATGATTCCTGTAAGCCCTTGTTTAGGGATCTTAACATACTAACTTTACCAGGTATGTACATATTTGAAGTAAGTGTTCATGTAAAAAAAACATATGTACAAAAAAGCATCTGAGGTATACTTGCGTAGCAATCGAAATTCTAATAGACTAGTTATAGAACGTATACCTAAAACTGCATTTTATCATAATGGCTGCTACGCGATGAATGTAAAAATTTATAATAAACTTCCGGTAAACATTAAAGAAGAGACAGAAACTGGTAAATTTAAAACCAAACTAAAAAGCTGGCTACTACTAAAGTGCGTTTATGACGTAAAACAATTTTTAAATGAATAATCTTGCTGCCTGAACTTGACATTATTGTATTCTTTTAGACTATTTTTTGTGTAATCTGTAGATTTTGTATATTTACTCTTTTGACATTCTAATTTTTACTTTTTTATAATAATTGACATGTTGATTGTATTTTAATTTTATTTGATTTAAATGAATAATGCATATAAATTCTTTGCTTGTAATAATGATTGTAGTTTTAACGTTTTTAATTTATATTCATTTGTTTTAAATTAATCAATGTAGGTACATGACTATGTCTTTTCATTTAATTAATAATTTTCGCATGCCAGATGTGGTAAACATGTGGACTATATACAATATCCAATATTTGTCACCTCTAATGTACCATGTTTAAGCGAATAAATGAAATTATTATTATTATTATTACATGGCGGGTGATTATTGGCGCCATCTAGTATCAAATTTCAGAAATAGGAGCGTCAAGAGCTTGCTTAAAAATTCACTATCGCCATCTAGTGTGAAGTAGCAGAACTAGGAGAGCTTTCTAGAAAATTCGGTGCTAGAACTCTCAACATTCTACTCGAACATTCTAGATGTTTCAGTAGAAAACCCATATAAAGCCGTTTAGGGGTTCCAATTGGGCAGTATTGAATCGGCGATGCAATACGAAGACTTAGGAGCGAAATAAAGTGAACTAAAGTGTTAAGTTTGATTAATTAGTGTGTTTTAAGTTTTATTGGTGTTCGGTAATTAAAGTGTCAATTTTGGTAATTCAATCGGCGGTTTTTATTGTCACAAACCCTAAGCTCGTAACAATATTATTGTAATAGTGAAGGATAAATATGAATAAATCAGTCTCAACTCGATCTGGGTGTTTGATTGTTGCGTGCCGTGTTGACAACAACTTCGTTCTTTGATTGAAGTTAGCAACAAGTCGGTATCGGTAATTGAAGTTGAAGCAGGCAATGCGTGGTGCAGCACTATTTCTCACTGGTATTTTTTAATTTTGGTCTCGCCCTAATGACTCGATCGCCAATATATACTATACTATATGCTAAATCTTAATCCGGGCTTTTGATCGTAAATTCGCTTCAGAAACCCTAATATTAGATAAAAATAAATTGCGCATTCTGGCAAGAGCTCTGACTTCATCGTGGGACTAGGCAACTCATGGATGTACCGGTTTTGTTCCTTAACATATGGTTACGCGGAAACGATTCGTGTATTTTAATTTTATTCGAGGGTATATTGCCAAGCGTTTGTCCATCCTTTGACCTAATATCTCTTCCGTAAACACTGAAACGGGACGGGAGGTGTCTAGAAGGTGACGCGATTCTTTCGACCAATGAGAGGCGCGCCCGACCGAAGTGCTTGGTGGGAAAAGCCGAGACAATAAAGGCTCGTGTGCGGCCCTCGTGCGACCTCTTCCTTCGCACCACTTGCCTGGATCATATCTCTGTGGCGCCCCAGAAGAACCCACCCCACATCGCATCACCGCAGCGGAAGCGTCGTCCGCCATCACCAGAATCACACCCCGGTAAGTGTTTTCCCGTAATAATGCTCCGACTTGAGCATTTTGTTTATTAATTAACCCGCCCCATTTTATTTCTCCTAATGTGCTCAAGTAGAATCCCCTCCTAACCTTGGCAAGCAATAGATTTGGAAGAGCGAGTGCATTGTCTAAGGTGCCGCGTGTCACATCCGCCATCTTGTTGAGGCATAAGAAGCCAACGCATATACAGTCCACTTAGTACAACATCTCGCATAATAGGGTCAAGGCTCAACCTGGGAATCGAACGCGTGAACCCTTAGGCCCACCGCCCAACCATTTTCTGGTCATTCGAACGGATTTGGAACTGGTGCCCTGTAGCCTCATCGAGTCGAACTGCTGAACCAATTCCTTGGACAATACACTCTAATTTAATATTGGATAGATTTATGTAGTTTTGTTTTAGTTTAAATTTAAATTTTGGTTAGTTTATTCGCATAGGTAAATAGATAATTATTTATTTAAATAGTTAGACCCGCTCAATTTTATTTATCTTACCCGCTATTTGTAATTATATGGGCTTTAAATTCTTATCTAGTCGACGCGTATTACATCGTTTGATTGCAAGTTACCTTCAAAAAAAAATAATATATTACTGACAACGTGTTCAATTTAACGACGTAATACGGCACGTAGTGAATTGTGTTCATCTTCCAACGTTGTACGATATTCTTTGTGATTAATCTAATATTAATTATAGTGATTCAAGATGGCAGTTAGTGGAAATGAAATTAAACTTAAAAATCTTTACGCCAAGAGGGACGTACTCTTTTCACGTATACGTGATCTATAAGTGATCATATAAAAAATATTAAAGTAGATTCAGTGCGGGAAACATTTTTATGTGAAATCAAAACGGTGGACTCTTTGCGATCGGATTACGAAAATATATTAGACAAAATTAATAGTTTAGAATTACAAATCGACCCTAAGTAGTACAGTGAACTATCAAACACTGTCTATCATTTGAAGATACGTTGTGTCGAATAAAAAGGACGAAGCAAAGCTCTTACAGTCTCACAGCGAGGCACGCAAAGACGAAAATACCGAGCGATAGACATTTAGTTGCTAAATGCAGTTCTAGTTCCGTGTGTAACAAGTGCGCCAGCAGACATCACACGTTATTACATTTCGAAGGTGGCAACATATTCGCGTCGAATAATTCGGACAAGGAAACTACACATACTAAAGTCGACGCTTCTAACGGTCGACCGGGTGACGTCGCCCTGTGCTCACTGTCGAATACGGGAATGCAGTCTCCTTCCACATTGCTGCTAGGTACAGCCCGTATCATAGTTAGGGATTCGCGTGGAAACGAACAAAGTGTCCGTACGTTGCTAGACTGCGGATCCCAGAGTAGCTTTATAACGCGACGATGTTGCCAGCGTTTAGGATTGCTAATAAATAAGACACCGAATTGAAATTTTATTCTCGGCTAGATCGTAGTATTAACTTTAATATAAATGCATTAGTAGTAGATAAAGTCACCGAGCGTCTGCCAACCGTTTCGGTCGACACCTCGGCAATGATTAATTTTGAGAATTTGACTCTGGCAGACGATACGTACGCCGTTCCCGGAGATACAGACATGCTCGTTGGAGCATCGATTTTCCCTCATCTTTTGTTACACAATAAGGTCAGGGGCAACCCCTCGCATACCGCGCCTTACGCACTGGAGACCGCCTTGGGCTACGTCATCGTTGGTTCCGCCCCTATCATGGATAATATTTTGGCAACCTCTTATTGTTGTATGGCTGTCGAACCGCTCGAGTCGTTAGTTCGCAAATTTTGGGAGATGGAGGAGGTGAACGTTTCACCTATAGTTATCCCAGATGATACATTATGCGAGGAAATTTACGTCCGCACGACCGTTCGTGATCGCGACGGTCGATATAGTGTAGCGCTACCCTTTAAAGGAGATGTT